CGATTCAGTCGTAACAACGTGAGTGAGGAAATTCGAGTAGTTTTGACCCAGAAAGCGAAATTTGAATATCAGACACTTAGGTGCAAGATTATGCATGTAAAATTCCATGTTTTCCGTCCCGTTTTTGCCCATTTCTCGGAGGCAAAATGGGCAAGAACGCTCATTTGTGCATCATTCTAGACAGAAATAAATGGCCCTTTTAGAAGGTGAACCATGGATGGGGAAATGTTGGCAGTTTTCTCGAAAAATGCTTGAATTCGAGAAGTTTTAGATATGCGCGGTTTCACTTAAAAAACTTACTCCTCTTTGGCCATTTGCACCGTTTCGTTGAACTGCGTTTCCAGCAAGAACCGCTGCTCCTCACTAGAAAATTGGGTCAACTCAGCGTCCCACAAAACCACCCGTTTAGGTACCTTCTTTTGAGTTTCTCCTGTAGGTCCAGGAACTTTTCGTAGTACTCGTCCAGCTTGGATGGGAAGCGATGCTCCATGCTTGTGCAGGTTGCGCGTCAGGACTGCGTCAGATTCGTCGGGATTGTTTGTATTTATAGCGCGTCACCTGCAACCGATCGGCGTCGCCAATTAACGGGGGCTGTTGGAGGGTGCGTGCGCCAATCGGGGGCGCCGCTCATCAGAGTGCTCGCACTTGCCCGCTCTTAATTAAGTGCAATGCGCCCTGCAACCGGCCCACTTGTGATTGGAAAAACGCCCATACGGGATCTGCAGGATGATTCGCATTCAATCGGGGCGCAGACTTGAGGGGGCACGCGATGTCCGTGCCAGGACCCATCGACTTGACCTTCGGCTGCATTTCGCCCGGCGATCGATGACTTTATATACTTATATAAGTATAATATTGTACCGTGGATGGCCGAGTATTAAACTCTTTCTTCTGCTTCCAACTTTTATTCCACTCGGTACAACTTTAACTACGGAACAGGAACAAACTAACTTCAAAATTACCGGCAACTTCACAAACAATAACAGTAACAGGCGGAAAACTCGCTCTTCCGACTCCCGGAGTTTAACCTCTTCTGCACTCAGGCGCGGCTGTCACTTCACTCCACTCGTCTTCTGTGTTGCTGACATTTCCGCTAGAGCTAGTTTGTCGGAACTTTTGCTCTTTTGTGAGTGCCTTTAAAGGCTTATTTATAGGCTTACTCGTCTGGTTCTCGTCGTCGCTTATATAGTTTTCTCCAGGTATTCCAGATAGTTCTAGAAATCTCCAGAACAGGTGCGAAACTTCCCGCTTGTCAGTGTCATATTTGACAGTAAATGGGGCCCCAATGGGGCTCCCATTTACTGAAATACTATGAATTTCGATCCCCCATTCCAAACGTGAGTACCCCAGGCCATTTCCGTTACAATATAATACTTAATAATAATATCCTTATATATTATATGATTTATGTACACCGGGCGCCCTAATTGAGGTTTTTTAGTCGCTGAAAATCACGCTAGTGGCCCAGCCGCAGATTTCTAAGGAAATCGTCGAGCACACTGCTGGGCTGCTGAAAAGCGCCCCGCCAGAGCCCCTAACAGATGGCGCTGGGAAGCGGCAGGGGGCCAAGAAGAGTAAACCGGCCACGGGCAAGAAGCCGGATAAAAAAGGTGCTCTGCACCCCAGTGGCTAGCGGTGCCTTATAGGCTCATGTTTTTTCAGCAAAAGCGCAAAAAGTCGCAGAGGGCGCAGAGCTCAGCGCCCAGCATCTGTACCCTGCCGAGATGGCTTATTGGCGCAGTCTCGAGCCCTACCACATAAGGGCCAGCTTCACCTGCACCATCGACTACGAACCCTCCAAAGGGTGCGCTAATCGTGCAAAACAACCGATGCTGACTGAACCGTTTTTCCCTTATCGGCAGGCACAAAAAGCGCGACAAACTGCAGTTGGACGCGATTTGCAAAGTGGTGCGGCCCGACTTCATCGCCGATCTGAGCCAGCAACGAATCGCCTTTGGGAAGTGCCTGATTGGAACGGGCGCAACCAGGACGATCACCATCAGGAACCTCACCGGTAAGCGCGCCGACGGGATGTTGGGCTGCATCTAGCGCTCCTGTTCCAGACCGGAATATCAAGCCTAGAGTGTCCCTGCTGAGCCCTGCGGGCGGCTTTTTCGCGTCCTGCATGCGCGAGTTGCCGCCGGGGGCCTGCGGCAAGCTGCGCCTCTGCTTCAGACCCACAGTGCCTCATAAGGTACCCACATTCCTTAGTTACCTACGAACCTCTCTTCACGCAAACGGGCCCCAAACATTCAAAGGCCGTTTATTTATATACACAGGAATTTCACAGTCAAACTAGGCGAAAAACTAGTCAAACAAACTGTACCTTTGCAGCTTGAAAAGGCCGCGATCCGCTTTGGATTGAAAGACCCACGAGGGGCGCTTGATCTTCATGCAGCGGGGCGCTTTGGGGTTGTAGCGGCCAGGGCCGGGGGAAATGCGCCAGTCGGTGGGGGGCCGCGCGTTCCCATTGGAGGAGTCGAACGCGTGCTTGGAAGCGGGCGGCGCCTTGATCCTAAACCCCCTTTCCTATCAGGCTGTTCGATGCGTTTAGGTTAATTACCCGGAGCTGCTCAGATTGTAGTGGGCGGGCCCCGGATCTGCGGGGCTGCGATAGCACAGGCTCAGATCGTTGAGCATGTGGCGCACCGTGGGCTTCCTCTGGAACCTGGGCGCCTTCAGGAACAGCCCATACCTGAATCGGTATTGGTTGAAAAGTGGGTGCGTAAACGGATAGTGGGCGGGGCAACCGTTTCTTGGTGGGGTGCTCCAGTAAAAATTGCGCGTCGCTGGGTTTGACGTAGAAATATTCAGGAACGCCGCCCAGGGGCGGCGCAAAGTGGTTCTTGATGGTGGTGCCGTCCCTCGGCCCAGTAAAGCAACTGTAGGGCCCTCTAAACAAATCAAGCTATGAAGGCTTTCACGGCCGGTTAAATCACATTTAGGAATGTTTTCATGTTCACATTTAGGAATGAAAACATTCCTAAATGTGAAATCAAGCTATATCGGCTATAATCGGCTACATGACGTGTCCCGATCTGTTCCGAACACCCCCGAGTGCAGTGACATTTTGACGTTTTGCCTACTTACTTTGACGAGACAGTTCTCCTAGTGATATCCGAGGTGTTTTTCATGTCGCGCAGCTCGTACAGATTGGGGGGCAAGTGATAGGGCTTCGCCCCCGACTTGAACCTGTCGGCAAAGCCGTCGTACTCAAATGTGGGCAAGGTGGAGAACGTTTTCTTGGACTGTTGGTAGCTCCCAGCCAGGCCCCTCATGTAAGTATCTGAAACCCCCCGATAACGCCCGGATTACGCTCGCTGCGCCACATCAACCTACTTGGAGGCGGGGCCTCTTGGCCCACGAGTTCCTTTGCAAACCGCGGCCCATTTCCAAAGCCAACGTTGTCCTTGCGCGAGCCCGTTAGCGTTGCAAACAGCTTCTCAGCTACGTCCGTACTGCCTGGGCCTCTCATTGTGCGCTCGAACTGCCTCTGTTTCAATATGTGCGCGTTTCTGAAGCCCAGAAACTTGGAAAACTCCTCAACCTCCAGCTTGGTGCGCCAACTGGAACCCCGATTAACTGAAAACAGTGCCCCAATCTCGCGCTCGGTTAAGGGCCAACTTCATTCCTTGCTTCGCCCGGCATTGCGGCCCCTTGGGGTCGAAGCTGCCAGGCCCCAGCTTGGTTATTTCCCGTTTCATCGCCCCAGACTTGTCCAGCTCAGGGTGGAACCCCAGTTTGGCGAACCGTTTGGTTGACACCCCGAAAGGGACACCATATTTACAGCCCTGGTGCTTCATTGCGTTGGTTTCAATGACATTCATGTGACATTTGGCAGGTGACAGAGTTTATGGAAATTCGCTCCAACGCCACCTTGGTTCCCCTGGTGCTGTCCGGCGAGGGAGTTTTGCCAGTGATTAAAATAACGCCCGCCTATGGAGTGTTTCGGGTGGAAACCAAGCGGTCCAAGCTGAAGGAAGTGCACTTGAAGGTAAGCCGCTAGTGCGTTAGTCCAAGTTCGCATAACAATTCAGTCAATGGTAGATCGAAAACGCTTCTGAAGCCCCTGCCAGTGTGCAGTTGGAAAAGCTGTTTGAGATTGAAGGACTGGCCAACAAAGAGCATAAGGAGAAGACCTCGGAGGGTCTCACTGAAAAAGAACTGGAGACAGTGGAAAAGTGCTTCAGCAAAGTGACAGGTACAAAGGGCCACTTCGTCCTGAGCTTGCTTAATTAATCCAGACCCTCTTCAGGTCAGAGCCACTTTGCGTTCAAGTCTGGAGATGGAGCTTTGAATATCCCGCCCACTTCCAGCAGCTCGGTGACAATCCAGTGCGGAGACCCCGAGCTTCTGGCAAAAACCCAGGAGGCGAAACACTCCAAAAGGGGCCACAAGGACGGGCACACCGTGGCCGCTGAAAATGAAGGTAGGGAAGAGAAGCAATGCATTGTGCAGTATAATCTTCGCGTAGGAACGGCTTATATTCAAAGCGCGGTTGTCGTATGTTCAATTAAAAACTAGAGATGCTGCTCATGTTCACGATGAATCGCCAATGGGCCAGTTTTCCTGGAAACCAAGCGTTCTTAGTCAGTAATTTGACTGCCTGCAAAATCTTACCTCTGCTGCATACTCTCCCGGATATATTTCCCTAAGCTGGTAGTAGACGAGTCAATGAACTGCTGCAGCATACTGTGCTCCTCCTGAGAGTAGGAGGGCATATAGTAGATGGTGTAACTCAAAGTCCTTCTGGCTGCGTCCAGATCTTCAGGGGTAGCCATTTGGATGTTGTCTAAATTAGCTGCAATAGAAGCGTGATTGATGTATAAGTTGCAGCAAGCCAAGATTGTTAGGGCGTTTCACCTAGGATGTCCGGCAGTTTCTTATGAAACGCCTCCTGAAGGGGCTGACAATTCTTCTGGAAGAGCCTATGAATGGTCTCGATACTCGCCTTAGGCACCGGGGTTTGGCAGAGAATGTCGGGCAATGTGGTCAGCCAGTGATGGTAGCTCGCAGATCTAGAGCAAATTTAATACAGGGTGAGCTAAGTTGGCACGGAAACTTGTTGCGTTCTCACTTGTTCAAAAGGGGATTGTCGAAAATGTCATTAGCCAGGATCTGACTAAGGCGCAGCTTATTGGGCTCGCTCAACACTTTATCTCTCCTGTAAAACGCCACGACGTCCTCTAAAAGCGCCGATAAGTCCATGCCGCTCCGTTGCCACTTGCGGTAGTTCTTGCCGAAACACTCTGATAGTAGGTCCAGCAAACAGGCGCTGCTTTCTTCCTTCAGTTGCCTCTGATGAAGCATGATTTCTGGAACAAAGTGCATCTAGACCAGGCCAGGAAGACTGTTGAAGCATCTCACTCTTCAGGTAGGGCATGATGATTGCCATTTCCTTTGCCAAGTTCTTTTCGGTGCAATTCACGTACAACATCAGATACACGAAACAGATCAGTAGGTTTTCGCGCACGCAATTGGGGTCGTTGTTGTGCTCCATAACGTTCCATTCGCTCTTGGATACTCTGGATCGCGCTCCGGAGTAAGAGTAGGGAAAGTTGCTCAGGAGATGACTGAGAAACTTGCGGCCTTCCGGCCCCAAAAACACGGTGTTCTGGGGAAGATGCGCTGTTGCATTTGGGAGAGTTTGGAAAACGAACTTACCATGTCAAAGGCGTAGGGACTATCCGGAATTTTTACGTATTGCCACAGTGAGTGGAGAGTGTTGGTGATGCAGGCGAGCAAAGCGCCCGCTTCTTGAGTCAGCACACAGCTGCCTGAAACGTTTCCATACTCCTCAAGGTGGTCAAAGAGGGGAAGCTCCGCCTACCTGTCAGCGCTGTTTGTTCAGACCTCTCTCCCAGCCACGTCCGCTTGCCTGTCGTCGCCTCCTGTTCAGGCCTCCCTTCCAGCCACGATTCAAACAGTAAAGGAACCACGATCATCAGGTGCTTTTTGATTAAGTCCGGTTGCGGGGACTTATGGGAGTATATGCCAAAGTCGGGACCATCCAATTGGTCCATCAACTTGGTCTTATAGAGTCCAAAATAGGGCTGTCGGTCCACGGAGAAGATCGGTGCCGGTTCACATGGTGGGGGTGCTTTGGCGACCAAAATGATGCGGAAAATTGCCTGCAATCGACTCAGAACCTTGATGCGCCATTCTACGCTGGTCAGCTTGCTGCCCAGGTTCAGAGTGAGCGTTCGACCGATTTCTGAGTCGTTGCGCAGCTTCGAAACCAGCGCCAGAAAGTCAGGGAGCATTTCTTCTGCTGCTTTCTCCATCGGGCCACCGCCTTTCCTGATGAAACAGTCCAGAAACAATAGCGAATCTTCTTGGATGTTGCGATTGATGTCGGTCATTGCGCACCGCAGATTCAAGGTGAAATAGTGGAAAAACGGCGACAGCCGCACGCTGGGGACCTAAAAATGGGAAATTTCCCAGTTGAAATTCCAGTTTAGGACTGTTCGGTTGGAAACTCACGTTGTCTAGAATCGCCTCTACGGTTTTTAGGGCAGTTTTCCGAATTTTGGTATCCGGGTCCTGTATCATGCCACTGATGGCGAGGCAAATTGGCGATAGATGTCGCTGGATTATATCCTCCGTGCGGATTTTGATCAGTTCGCATAGTTCAGCGCATGCTGTTCGTCTTACGGTCCCATTGTGATGCTTCAGACGACTCAGAAGGTCCTGGAAATTTCAAATACGGCATTTTATTTACTGTTGATTTTTTTCATTTCACTTGAAACTTGATGAATTAACTTGATAATTTCAAAAATCAAATTACATGCACTTGTGTTCACTTGAAGCCTTTCTCAAGCCAGGCGCAAACAAAAATTCATAGGATCGCTAATTTCCGAAATATTTGAGCATTTTAAGTTAAAAAAAAACCACCCGGTATATTATTTGCGAGTATAGTTGAAACGACTTATTTTTGCCCCGCCCGGCAACGCCGGCCTCTAAATCTGGCTCCATGTGTTTATTTTCTTAACCTCACTATTTTGTTGTTCGACTTCTGTCGGCGTTCCGCCGATTACTCCCCATTTTCTTCGTAACTTGCTTACCTTAACGTTGAGATTTCTTCGGCTTAAAATATCATTGGAGTCTTTCTGCTTGAGCTGCTCCTGTAGCACTATAGGCCGCACTTTAAACGAGGTGTCGGTCACATTCTGTCCTTTGGGCAGAAATGTGGTTTTCGGTTGCTTCAGCTTCGTTTTGGCCTTTTCGGCCCTAATGTGCTTCTTGTGTTGCTGATTTCGCCCCATTTTCCGGCAAATTTGAGCGAAAACGCGGGTATTTGCACCCAAACAATCACTCACCACAGTTGCCAAACTGAATTATAGATGAAGACAAGTGTATAGATAAAGACGAGTGATTGAGGACAAGCATAGATGAAGACAAGTGAACTGAACGACAGTATCAATCATCAACCTAGTAATTATTTCTGTCAATAAAAGCGAACTTTGATGCAATATTTTAGTTAGAACCATTTGTTACTGTATTCTGGACTTTTTGCAACTCCAATATGGTAATTAATTTACTGTTCGCAACATGTTTGTGCCTGTTATGTACAACTGTTCCCCTTCGCTCGGGCAGATACAGATGTCCCCATCTAGCGGCGCGCCGCTGCCAGAGAGCATATTCACTTAGCTCCATTCTAATGGCGGATATTTTGTGACGGCGACCATAGAACACAGATTATCAAACTATAGAACAAGACTTGTCCACAGATCACAGAGGTGAACGCCACTCTGTGAATCACAGGGAAAATAAAATAATTTTACTAGTTTTAAAATCGTTACTTACTAAATTGCTTAAGTCTTGTTCTATGATCAGGGGATGCTCTGAACTAGTTGGTTACCCGAATGGGAGTACATGGCGTTCGAAAAAAAACATTTTAATGTCTAGAGCGGCCTATTGAAATATACCGACGTTCCCTCCCAACACTGTGTATGAAAAAAAAATTCAGTTGACTACATCTATTTATTCACGTCCACAAATGGCTAAGAACACCTTCAGATCTGAGGTAATCTAAAGCAATCAAGGGATATTTACAAACCGAATTAGTCCTGGACTGTTCCCAAATAAGAATCAGAGACAAGACTTGCCTCTGTTAGAATACAAGAACGAGTTAGAAAAAAGTTGATATATCGACGCACGTTGACCACCTAGTGGGATGGCGGAGGTGGGCCATAAGAGTGATAGTACATCTGCGTCTGATTTTGCCCGGTAGAATTTGGGGGCGGCGGAGGCGGCGCGTTAAACATCATCCCAGGCATTTGGTAGTTCTGGAAATGCGACACGCCCGGCGGCGGCGGCAAATGCGTCTGATAGCCCATCATAGACTGGGCCGAGGCCTGACTGGTGGGCGGGGGCGGCGGTTGCGACAATTTGGAAGCCGGAGGCGGCAGCGGCGGCTGCTGAATATGCGCCATCGTTGCTGGATGTTGGTTTTGCAGGTCCTGCTACAGTTGGTGTTTAAGGTTAGTTTTGCGGGCGGCACTCGAGGACGGCGCACCTACCAAGTGATACTGCATATGGTGAGCGTGAAGCATTGTAGGCTGCGCTTGCTGCGCCAGTTGCGCCTGCATTTGGTTGTGCAGCGCCAGGTGATTGCGCAAGTGGTGCGACGGCGGTTTATCCTCCTTGGGGGGCTGCGGCTTAGGGGTGGTCCTTTGAGCGCTGCCTGCAAACTTTGGGGGCGACCGCGGCTTTCCTGCATAGCTTCCCCTGGATGCCAGAGGGCTCCTGGATCTGGAGCGACTAGGAAAAGGCCAGTATGACTGGGGTGGGCCCATTGGAGTCAGGTTAATGCCAGTACCTGCTGCTGGAAGAGGAGCTATCCGAGTAGGAGCGCCTACGTCTGCGATCGCCCGACCTGCTTCTGCTCACGCTCCTGCTCTTGCTACGGCTTCTGTCCCTGTCGCGACGCCCACGGCGCGGCGCTGGTGAGCGGGATGGCGATCGTGGGCCTCCGCGCCCATTCCGACCTCCTCCTCCTCCGCCGCCGCCTCGTCGCCACCGGCCTGCGCAATCGGGAGCTTAGTTACACGCTGAACTCCGCAAAGAAGAACTTACTTCTGCCGCCGCCTTGGCCGCCATGCTCCGCCATGTCTTGCAGCTTGGGGTTGATCACCTGCTTCGCCTCCTTCAGCACGGCCACGAGGTCGGCGGCCTTGTTGGAGTTCTGTGGCGTGAAGAATGTGTAGGCGGTGCCAGTTCGCTGGGAGCGGCCTGTGCGCCCAATCCGATGCACGTAATCCTCCGAGTTGCATGGATAGTCAAAATTGATGACGAACTTCACGTCTTCCACATCTGGAAAGTTAGATTGAGCATTAGTTGGCTGAGGCACTCCTAGCGAGCACGAGTTTTTTTCATCCACTAGACCAGGAGCTCTGGCCGGATTCCAGTCGCGTTCGGGGTCGATATAGAAACCTGAAAGTCGATAGATTGATTGCCTGAGCCCACCTAACGACGCACACTACTTTTCGTTGAACGCGCCCTCACGGTAAACCCTCAACATTTCAACACCGGGCAGTTCGGGAGGTAATTGTTTTGCCACTGCTTGAAAAGCCCCCAATCCGCAGTATATTTTACAAGCGAGTAGATATCACTAAACCACTTTTTGCAAGGATTTTCAACGACCAAAACCCTCGAGGTGTAAACTAAATGTTGCACCAATCAAGAGCATGCTTGAGCGGTGTGTTCCCACGCGGCCGGCCAATCCTAAAGCTATAAAATGTCGTCGACGGTGTCGAAAGGAAAGGAACAAAAAAATGGCAAAACACAATATCCTACCTATGGGTGTCTACAATGAGCGACATTAGCACAGTGTGCTGCCGTTGGGTAACGGGACCAATCAGCCGCCTACAGCTCCTGTCAGTGGTCCCTCAACACCTCTCGCTCTTGCGCTTCGTCTCACCGCACGTGTCCAACTCGTCGGACATTGACTTGAGTGGGACGAGCTCAGTTCCAATTGAACGAGCAGAGACTTGCCGGCATAGAGCGGTGGAGGGCGAAAGGGATGACAAGGGGCGGCTGCGGCGGCAAAGATCGGTCGCTTTGATTGCCCCTCGTGTCAAAGGGCCGTCGACAGGTGCCCCTCAATTGAGTGGGGGGCAGAGCGCCAATCGGGGCGGTCTCTTTGTCGTCGACTCACGAGAGGCACACATGCGGATCGTGTGGTTTCGGCATTTTTTACACACGCGTACATTGTGCCTCTGAAAAAAGACGACATTGGGCTACGTTTAGTATTGTTAACAACTAGGGAACGGACGCCTCCGACTTTACTGTATGTACAATACCAGCTAAATCACTAGCTCTAACCATACCTAGTTGCCTAGTCTTACTGTGCGAGCCTGCAACAGGCCGTCATAGTGACCAACATTCGGCGTCAATAAGAGTAGGCAAGAACGGCATTCGATCCCATTGAATGAGCAAGAACCTCTGCCTGTCGCCGTTTTAAGGCAGGCTTTGCACTTACCCAATCCGCGTGCGGCCACATCCGTGGCGACCAGAATGGGCGCCTTTCCGCTTCGAAAATCTGCAACAAAGCTCCCTGTTATCACGCCTTTGCTAACGTTAAACCGGCTTAATCACCTTGCAACACCCAATCGCGCTCCTGTTGGGTTTTATCGCCGTGAATGCAAACTGCCGGCCAGCTGCAAAAAGCAGGAGCAATGAACAGTATTCAGTTATCATCAACCTAGTCTGGTTCTTACCCATCGCGCTTCATTTTGCGCGTGACATCGTCAACTTTGCGCTTGGTCTCCATAAAAATGATCGTCTTGTTCTCCTTTTCCGCCATGATTTCGCGCAGCAAGGTGCTGAGCTTGGACTCCTTCTCGTACTCCTGGCACACGTCGATTATTTGCAAAATGTTGTGATTGGCCGACAGCTGTAATGAGCCGACGTTGATCTGGGTGTAGTCTTTCAGGAATTCGGACGCCAACTGCTGCACCTCCTTTGGCCACGTGGCGGACCACATAAGCGTCTGCCTAAATCACCAAGAAAATCAGTGACAGCGACCACCTCCACTAGAGAGTTGCCTGGACAGCACCTACCTATCGGGCCTAATCTGCTCAATAATTTTCCGTATTTGAGGCTCAAACCCCATGTCAAGCATCCGGTCTGCTTCATCCAAGACCAAGTAGGTGCATCGCTTCAGATTGGTTCTGTTGCTCTCGAGGAAGTCAATCAGACGACCTGGCGTGGCAATTACGATCTCCACCCCATCCAGCAGGTCTAACGCTTGCGGGCCTTTGGGGGCCCCTCCAAAGACGCAGGTGTTCCGAATTCTTGCGCTCTTCCCCAACTCGTTGGCCACCTAAAAGCGAAAACGCCCTCAGCTGATGTCGCAAGATGTGTGGGTGAACACGCGCCTGTTGGATTTGCTGAGCCAACTCCCTAGTAGGGGCCAGAATGAGGGCTATCGGCCCGTCGCCCCTGGAAAGCTTGGCCTGGTGGCTGATATGGACGATGGCCGGTAGGATGTAGCTCAGCGTTTTGCCTGACCCTGTTGAGGCAATTCCCACCATGTCTTTGCCTGAGAGGGCGATGGGCCAGCCTTGCGCCTGAATGGGAGTGGGATGCTTGAATCCGGACTTTTGCAACTCCGCTATCACGTAGTCAGGAAAACTGCAAGCTCAGTGGTTTAATGGGTCCCGGAATCACGAGCACTGGCACTCACCCTGCCTCTTCAAAGCTCATCACCGGCTCGGGGATGTTTTTTCCTTTGAGGGTGATTTCTTTGGCTTTACGCCACTCTTCCACCTGATAGCAGGGCCGTTCAGCCACTGCCGGATGGGGTACGTAGAACTCCTTTTTAAAGGGCTCCAATCGACTGAGGTCCCATCGCGGTTTCCTCAGGTTGCTTCCTGCTTGGTTACGTCTGCCACCGCCACCACCGCCTCCTCCTCCTCCTCCACCCATATACCCTCTGTCCCGACCGCCACGATCCCGGCTTCTAGATCGCCTTCGGTCTCTGCTCAACAACGAAATATTGGGGCATTTCAGAAAATAATCAATTCGCCATTGATGTTGCAGGCTTGGATACGAACCTGCGACCACTTCTAGGCCTCATCGTGAGCTGCAACTGGATTTTCGTTTGGATCGGAAGACGTCACCAGTCCTCGAGGAGAGGAACCCAACAGCTTATGAGATGGAAACGAGGTTTAGATCAACAGGAGCGCAATAAAAGCTTGATGAAAATCCGCGGTAAGTACGATACACAAGTATAATTGACGTGATAAAAATGGCGGATGTCACAATTGACAAGCTTGGCCTCAGTTGATGTTTACAATTAGCGTGGTGACCAAACGGTTGTCAGATTGTATTGGCTGAATTTTTTTTTCTTTTAAATTATTTTGTATTTTTGTTTTTCGTGCGTGTGATTTGCTTTGGGGCTTCCGCATTGGGCCCGATTTAATTTTATACGCTTACACTCTGGTATGCAGGGTATTGTTTGCTTTCCAGATCGCTGCATCTGGCAACAGCGCCGGTCTGGCCAGTGGAAGTTGTCAGATTGATGGCTATACAGGCGGAGCTCTGATTAATTTTGTTATTTGCTTCCAGCCTGAATAATTCAAGTGCAAAATCGTGTCGGATGTGGTAGTTAATTAAGTAAGGTACCAATTGAAACCAGAAAACACTGTACTGAGTTAAGTGAGTGGTGAGTGCGAGTGTTGACAATCAGCCTGCATCTGTAAACATTGGTAAGAATATTATTTATTGATTGGGTGCTCAGCTCAAGAGGCCACTTTTTGCCCATATCGATACGCTGCAGCAATGAACGTGATAAGCTGCAGCACAAGCAAGCTGATTCTGGCCGATTTTCATTCACAAATAAGGCCGTTTCTTATGAAATATTATAGCCAGCCCTAGCTCGATAACAATCACCGCGCCCCATTTCCCTGTTGCCTTCAGCTCATTTCCGTCCCGGTGGTTAATCCTCTGGATTATTCATGAAACAATTCCAGAGCTTCAATGTAAAACTTCTAGCATTAAGGGCAAGTGGTAAGCCAAGTTCACAAAGCCTGCCACTCTGGCCCTATTTCGCCTAAATGCCTTGAGGGCTTTTAGTCCCCCTTTGTGTGCGGCCAAAGTTTACCTCTTGAGCAGATTGATTCTTGTGTGTGAAGAGGCAAACCGTTCCTGGATATAATGAGTGACTACCTGTAGCGTTCCAGAGGCACAAAGGGCACTCATAGGTGACATGGAGCGTCGTTTTCCAGTTGCCGGATCAATACCTAGGCCGCGTGTTTCGTATCCTGCAGGATAGGACTGGACGCTGATTGCATGATAGCAGGAACTGCCTAATTTTTCGCCTGCTGATTAGAACGGCATATCATTAATTGCCTTTTACACGATGATAATTTTATTGTTTCCTTGCACCGTGTACTTTGCACCGTGTTTACGATGCCTTTGCAAACAGGTTTGCCACACAATCATCTACCATGGTAGATATTCAGTACCAAAGTAACATGTAAACGCCCAAGGAGGGTTTTCAGGGCTTTAGAAAGGAAAGCTTGATCTGTTGTGATCCAGTGGTTGCTACTCCAAGTGGTCTAATTGGGTAATTGTTCTCTGAACTGGCGCTGATGGGGCGCGCCATTGATTTAAATAATCCCAAGCACTTCTTCATTCTTCAAGGGCTTCATGTTCGGTGTGCACCTAATTAGATTACGCTGACCTCTTTGATTTGCGGAATAGGAAAAGCGGAGAGCGACGCCAATCGAGTCGAGTCCGTTCCTGGACCACTGCCAGATCCAGCAGCTCTGCTGATGCCCATTGAAACAGCAGGAATAGCAGGATAACATTTGCGGAGGAGTGTGGCCATCGCAAAACTCGCCCACGCGTCTTAAGCCCAGTGAAATTTTCATCTGAAGAGTCGCATTTTTCGGAACTTACTAGTGCAGTGATGGTGTGGTAGCAGCGATGGCCTTCTGATCCTGCTTGCAGTTGAGTTGGGCATGCCAACGCAGGTAAGCGGGAGGATTTTACGCTTTCAAATGCCCCTCGTTTTGCCTATTGGCGAGAAAAATGCAATAGTTTGTAGGCTTCAAAAATTACCGCTTGCAGGGGTGGAATGCGAGCATTTCCTGGGGCAAATATACATGTTTAACATCGTTTTGTACCTTGTCTCCAGCCCAAGCAATCGCACTTTAGTGTCCCAATTTCAGATTACCTAACTTCTGCAACCCTAAAATGTGAATGGGCCCTGGCCTGGCGACTGATTAAGCCGGCCGGGGGCCCGCGCCATGCTAATCAAGGAGTACCGCATCCCCTTGCCACTGACCGTGGAAGAGTACCGCATTGCCCAGCTTTACATGATCGCAGTGAGTATCCTTTTGGTGAGAATTTGAAGTTTGCAAAAAGTTCTTCGGTATTCCAGAAAAAAAGCCGCGAAGAAAGCAGCGGTCAGGGCAGCGGGGTGGAGATACTCACCAATGAACCGTACAAGGATGGTCCGGGCGGCCAAGGCCAATACACGAAGAAGATTTACCACGTTGGCAGTCATTTACCAGGTGGGACTCCCAATTATTTTTGTTCAATGAAAAGTTTATTAAGCAATGGCCCCTCGTAATGGGGTACTGCTTGACAAGGACAGTTGGGCCCTCTCGCTCTTGAACACGGCAGCGAATGCAACCGAAACTCCCAAGGTCAACTTGGTCGCCCCAATTGAGCTACCGGGTGCATCCGATAATACACTAGAGTGTTTTCTACATTAACATATCCAGATGCTAATTTGCTTACATGAAAGACGAATGCAAACCACTTGTGTAAATACTGTGAATTGAAGCCCGTCAGTATGAACTATCGATTGCGCTTGGTTTATTTTTGGCCTGGAACTGGAGATTGCCTTTCAACAAGTCTGTTTTTAGATTTTATGGCGTTTGATGTTCCTCTTGTTGTTTTTAGGATGGATCAAGAGCATTCTGCCGAAAACCGCCTTAATGGTGGAGGAGGAAGCTTGGAACGCCTACCCCTATACGAAAACGCGCTACACCTGCCCATTCGTCGAGAAGTTCTATCTGGAGATCGAAACGTACTACTATCCAGACAACGGGTACCAGGACAATGTGTTTGAGCTGAGCGGCAGCGACTTGCGGAACCGAGTGGTTGGTAAGTCGTCAGACTTCTGAGCTGGTTTGTAGACTGCAGTACTATTAATTCGCTTAGATGTGATCGACTTTGTGCGCGACCAACTATATGGAGCGGACTATGTTCGCGAAGAAGACCCGTCGCTCTATGTTTCGGAAAAGTCTGGCCGCGGCCCCCTTTCGGACAACTGGGTGGAAGAGTACTGGAATGATGTGCGGGACAAGGCCCAGCCCACTCCCGCTGGAAATGCCATGATGTGCGCCTACAAGCTGTGCCGGGTTGAGTTCCGCTACTGGGGCATGCAGACGAAGATCGAGAAATTCATCCACGACACTGGTAAGTCTATGGAAAGTTGCCAAACGCCGGCTAATCTTGCTTTCAGCCCTTCGCAAGACTATGCTGCGTGCCCATCGGCAGGCCTGGGCTTGGCAAGACGAGTGGCATGGACTCGCCATGGCCGATATCAGAGAAATCGAGCGCCAGACCCAGCAAGCGCTCAAGCGGAAGATGGGCCAATTCGAGGATGATGCAATTGGTATGGGCGCAGAGCATATTAAGGAATTTGTCAATTAAAGGGGAATTTGCGTGGTTGTACAGTAGATGAGGACGATAACTTGAACAACAGCGCGTCCAAAGAGGACCCGGGCAAAACATTGGCGGCCACCCTTGGAAGTATCGAGGTGACGGAAGACAGTCCGCTTCTGAGCAAGGGCGTGAACGTGCCTCTCATCCAAACGGCAGGCAGTTCTGACTGCTCAGACGACAACGACAGCGTGCCCACTAAGTAAGCTAAAGCAATTTTCCTGCCATTGTTGTTATGAAGGTTCAATTGGTAACAGGCGGGAGACTAGGAGGCATTCGCCCAGAAACCTACACTCGCCCGGATCCAGCTCGGTGAAGAGTTTTGACCTGCAAGTGGGAAACTGGCGCATGGAGACGCTGGGCAGGGACTCGGAGTCGGCCTCTGATGAGGAGTTTTTCGACTGCGAAGGTGCTTTGTTTAGTAGGCCTCCATCAAGGCCTAATAACTCAACTCGTACAAGTTGCAGATTCTCCCTCTTTAGCCAAATGGAGCTCGCTGGATCTTCTATGTGAGGAGGACCTTGAAGCCAGCTCGCCCACCTTCATAGAGAACAGCCGAACTGGTAAGCTAGCAGAGTTTTCAAGCATTTTCTTCTATTAATGGAGTTCCCGTCGTTAGACCAATCTGATGACAGCATCTTCTCGGCGGCCTTCTTGCAGAGAGTGACCAGCGAGCGAGGCAACCGCAAAATTCTGCCCAAAACCAAAGTTAGTTCCGTAGATACGTCGCGACCCAACTCGCCCAATGCTGCCATTCTACATGCTCCTTGCAGTACCACTGTGTTGATGCTGGTTCTGCATGCTGGCAGTGTGTTGGGTAAGAGCACAGTCAAAGAGGACCGTTCTGCGGGTTAATGTACGGCTATTAATTGCATTAGATGCTAATGTGGACATGGCAGCTAAGAAGTCGGACGTGACGACGTTTAAGGGGGCTTTCGAGTCCGTGATGAGGCAGCACTACCCCTCTTTAGTGGGGCACATTGCCATCAAGCTGGTGTCTTGTCCCTCCATCTGCACTGAAAGCTTGGGGATTTTGTCCAGGTAATAGGTCTGTTTCAAGGGGAAATTCCGCTGATTTTGCTCTTTTAGTCTTAGCCCCTACAGCTTCGATGTGTCTCCTTCTTGCGTGGACGTTCCCCAAGTCACCCACGACTCCATACCCATTGGCGGCATCCCCATTTTAGCCACGGGCAATGTGGACTATCAAGACTCCGTGTCCAGGACAATCAACTCTGCCAATGCGGTCTATCACGGTAGCGCTAAATGCGTGGTTTTAGGCTGTGGAGATAGCGAGGTTTTTCAGATTTTCTCAAATCCGATGAAGGGCACGGCTTTGCCGGCCAGATTTGCTTCGTCGCCGATTCGCTGGGTTCCATTCTGGGCTACGACGCCCTTTGCCGCACCAGCAGCAGCCATTCCAGGCATGGAAGTGAGAATAGCATTCTCGATAATGAGCATAAGGGTGAGATTTCATTAGTATGAGCCAAACGGGGGGTTTGAAACTAGGAGTTTTTGGTCCAGATGATTTTGCGAATGATTCCTTCTTAACAACGCGGCATCCGGCCAGGCGGTCCTCGTCCATCAGCGAAGCGTCCCACATCAAGCTGGAATTTGAGGTGTCGGATTTTTTTTTATTCGGCAGCCCCTTGGCGCTGGTACTTGCCTTCAGAAGGCTGTCCGCTCAAGATGAAAAATCAGGTAAAAATGCGCTGGCTTTCGTCTCAGTGGGTTTAGTTCAAGTGGTGGTTTGCAGGGTCCATAAACCGTCCAGCATGTCTTCAGGTATACAACATGTTCCATCCGACGGATCCGGTCGCCTCTCGGCTGGAGCCGTTGATTTCCGCTCGATTTTCCATCCTGCCCCCCATGAACGTGCCCCGTTACGCCAAGTATCCCTTGGGAAACGGACAATCCTATCATTTATGTAAGTCGAAGGCGGTTCGGAAGGGGCGATTTACTACCCACCCAATTGCAGTGGAGATCCTACAAGCCAATCCCCAAATGTTCAACGACCAAGTGCTCCCCAGGCGTTTATCCGAAGTGTCGATCCAAAGCACGGTGTCTGGACTGATCGAGTCCATTCCCCTTCATACCATCAACAATTGTAAGCGCCGCCAAATCAATCCCTTACCAATGGTGTTAACCAATAGGGGATTTTCAGTGCAACAGAAATGGTGGGGCGGCAAACGCCTGGACTACGCTCTGTATTGTCCAGAAGGGCTCTCGAATTTCCCCACCAACGCTCTGCCCCATCTGTTCCACGCCAGCTATTGGGAGAGTTGCGATGTAATTGCGTTCATCCTGCGCCAAGTAGGGGGGCTGGATGGCATCACAGGCGCCCCATTGGAGGAGGGCCGTGAAAGCTCTTTCCGCCCGGGCCAACCCCGAGAGAAGTGGACCAAGAAGCGCACATCAGTGAAGCTGAAGGTGGGTTTTGCGGGGGGTGAAGGCTCGAATCCAGAATCCCAAGTTGCAGAATGTGACTGCCAATCATCGTGCCAACGATGTGATCGTGCGTGAGGGCGCAGCCCAGACCTTGGTGGCCACCTTCAAGTACGGTCCTTTGGACATGATCACCCTGACCGGGGAGAAGGTGGACATTCACGTGATGAAGGACCCGCCCTCTGGGGAGTGGATTCTGCTCTCCACTGAAGTAACCGATAGAACCGGGAGGGTTTCCTACGCAATCCCTGAGGTGCAAAGCGTGGGCTACGGGCTGTACCCAATCAAGGTGAGTGGAGGATCCGAAGGCGCTCACTCTAAGACTAATGGGGAGTTTGTAGATGATTGTGCGCGGCGATCACACGTCCGTGGACTTCTTCCTGGCGGTGGTTCCGCCCAAGACGGAAACCGTGGTGTTTAGCATCGATGGGTCCTTTACAGCCAGCGTGTCAGTGACCGGTCGGGACCCCAAAGTGCGCGCTGGGGCTGTAGATGTGGTCAGGTGGGGTCACAGGCATTTGCCCACTTTCTTCAATCTTCTCCGGTGATTGACTGTTTCAGGCACTGGCAAGAGCTGGGGTATTTAATCATCTACATAACCGGGAGGCCGGACATGCAACATCGCAAAGTGGTGTCTTGGCTGTCGCAACACAACTTCCCGCATGGGCTGGTGTCGTTTGCCGATGGCTTCACCACTGGGCCCTTAAGCCACAAGGCCGCCTATTTGAATAACTTGATCCAGGCAAGTTTCCTTAAATGCCTGGTTCTTTCGCACTGATTGCTGTCGGTTTCCAGAACCATGGAGTGATCATTCACGCAGCGTACGGCAGCGCCAAAGACATCAGCGTCTACATGAACATCGGACTGAAGCCCAGGCAGATCTACATAGTGGGCAAGGCGTCGAAGAAGCAACAGACCCAAGCCAGTGTGCTGGCCGATGGCTATGCGGTGCATTTGGCCTCGTTGATGGCCCATGGCGGGTCCAGGCCAGCCCAAGGGAATGCGCGCATGGTTATCCCGCGTGGATACTTTGGCCTGTCCGGACAGACGATTAATCGCAGACGAAGGTAAATGGAAGCAGCGAAGAAAATTCCATTGTTCCAAGGCGGGACTTAGCACGATTGTGTGATTTCAGCTACGACCAAGGTGGGATGTCTGCGGCCGGCAGAAATAGCGTCGCGGTTTCGAGTGGCGCTTTTTTGAAACGCAAAGTCTATCACATGTAGCGCCCCAAAGGTTAGAAGTAATTAATTGCTAATGATCGTTTCCATGAAAGCACCGAATGGCCCGTCGCGTCGTCTTGATTGCACCTCCCTTGTAGTCGATTGATCAGTTTCAGTTTAAGGGAGGATCCACCAACCAACCAATATGCCGATCAGAAGGCAATCGAAAAGAGTTTTTGCCGTTTAGTGTCTTCGGCCGATTGTAAATACGGTTTAGGTTTATTCTCGAGTCTCCGATAGATGCGATCATTCTTTCACCATCTAACTGTGTAGTCACGTAGTTCATGGCCAGCATTCCTCGAGTAGCTAGATGGATGTTTTCGGTGCTATCTGTGTAGTGCATTTTACTGAATGATCCACGAGTTTTGTACCATACTAAATGCCCCCGACTTAGAGCCCGTTCATTGTATCATTGTAAGTGTGCTGATTGCTTGCAGGTCGGCCAAAAGAGCGACCTCCTACCCCATCGCAACGGACCCTCTGCAGCTGGTTGAACGATCTATGAGCACGAAGCGGTTTCATGTGGCGAAGCCGGTGTTATCTGTGACGCCTAGTAGCATTATGGACTTACCTAGATAATTAATTGGTTGCGCAGTGTCGTGGCCGGATTTAAGATAATCAGTGGTAAGTGGGTCGTTGTTCCAGACAGATTTGCCATACAGTTTCTGTGCCTTTTAGGGTTGGCGGTGCAGCCTCCTCATTTAAGTGTCGTAATTTATCAACACCATGTGTAAGGCTTGTTGTATTTACCAACTTACTACTTGGCTGTAAGGCGCGGTGAAGTTCCACCCCTCTCTCTATTAACGTGTTTCGCCTTTTGCTCTCTCAGCGTTCCCAGATGGTAATGGGCCCTTTTTTGTTTTTCCCATTACAAGCGGTTTTGTGATATATTTTCTTGGTGCCAGCAGCAATTTGATAAGTTCATCGAGCGTTCACTTGAATTCGATCTGCATTTCACTTAAATATTGCGGTAATAATTAAAAAGTAGTCATTCATATAGTTACCCAACAGTATAAGAAATCAATTGAGTGTTAGACAATTGTATATAAATATTCTTCTAGTTTCGATTTTATTTTTATAAAAGAGTTTAAAAAGTATTTCTAAAGCTGCATGGAAAACTGCACGTGTAGGTTTTTTCGGGGCTGTTATTGTTTTCCAAAGTTTATCCTGGTTTTTATTCGTTCTCCAAAGAAAAATATATAAAATAAATATATTATAGTTGAATTCTACATATGTGAATTAGACGATAATCATATTCGTTAAGTCAGCAAATTTGCAATATGTTGTAAAATTCCAATAATAATTATTGTTAGAAATGGTTGATGGGGTTTTGTGCTTTGGACTATACCACCAGCTCCGCCTAGTACCTTTCCAGTTTTTCCATGCCCAAGCCAGCAACACTGTTCATCCAACAACAGTCTGGCTACATTGCTCCTGGTGGCAGCTCTGTAGTGACACTGACGTTTATTCTGTCCCAACTCTCAACAGAAACTGAGTCATTATTGTTTCTATTCTGTGTTTCTATTCTAGTTGTTTAGACAATGCAAGGGTTTAAAATGGTTATTTTGGCGACAAAAAGCTCCTGAAGACGTAATATGGAATTATGTATCATACGCTGCAGTTTGTCTTGTGCCTCGTTTCGATTTTCCTGCAAGCCAAAGGTTAGTTTCAGCCCTTGCAATCGGGGTGAGTGGAAATATCGATATTGCAACCAACCCTTTTACTTTGTCATTATGTAAACAGTTTAGTCTCTAAAAATAGCATTGAGCCAATGGGGGGTTTGAAGACGATGGTTGTTCCCCAACTCATCGCTAGTGTTAGTTAATTTCGGTCTTTGCCCCCTAAGACATTTCGAGTTGTTATTGCAGCCGCCACCGTTAAGCGGGTTTCAGTAGACTTGGGGAAAAACGTAACGATAAAATGCCCCCTGAACAACTCAAGGGACGTGATGTGGGAAAGGGAAGGCCGAGAGCCAGGCCGGAACACAAAAATGACGGTGCTGGAAAGTGGTTCCATGTTTCTGGCAACAGTTGATAGGAGCGACTCGGGGATTTATAGTTGCATTCGCGAGAACGACGTCAAAGATATTAGGGGAAAGGTGAATGTTACAGTGCGAAGTAAGTGGTTGATTTGGCTGACCAGGCTGCTGCTTACCGATGCTCTCTTATAGCGCCCCCGCCGCCTCTAGTGGTTTCTATCAAATGCAGCACCATCCTGGTGCTGGTTTTGTGGCAAGTCATCGGAACTGGCGGCTATCCCATATCGTACTTTGGTGCTCAATATCGGCCGGCGTTTATCAACACCAGCTGGATACCCATTTCGCCTAATCACATCATGCCGAGCTCAGTAAGTCTTGTATTTTGTGCCCTTATTCTCGCCGTTCTTAAGTGCGGTAACCATGTGTCTTTTTTAGCGACAAATCGAAGTGTATAGTCTGCGGCCGAACACCACATACGAATTCAGGATGTGGGCGACCAATCAGCTGGGCAAGAGCCCCGTGACGTACGTACTGGCCACCACCAAAGCGCAATACACTGAAGAAGGTATGTACCAGCCAAAGACGCGAATGTCGGGAGGCTTTTGCGTAGAACTGGTAGAACGTGCACACGCGACTGGTTTGATGAATGGGAGATATTCCGTGCTCACTTTATACCGGGTGTTTGGATAAGTGACGGTGGCCCTAATTTACACGCCTTACACGGACACCCGGTCCATTTGTCGCAGAGCTGGAGAACGACCTGCAGTGTAATATACGTGATCTAATTGTTTAAACAGCTTCCACACACAGTTCGCTGCTTAAACACGTTGAATGGCGCTTTTTGGCTTCCTGGCATCCTGTAGTGGATTAGTCAGCCCGGCGCCTTGCCTGTCTCTCTTCTCTCCTTCCATCTTTTTGGTGTCTCCCTCAATTTCCTCTTTGTTTCACGAAAGAATTAGCCAGACATTTGTTGAAAGGGGCTGACCAGTTCGATACCAGATGGTGGGCGGCCGCCGTGGGCATTGTGATGGGCGCGCTGGTTCTTCTGGGGCTCGGCACTTGCCTGTTACTGTGCCGCGAATGTCAGCGCCCCTCTGTCGGTGAGTGCAATCGATTGTCGCATTAATCCCCATTTAATGAACGCCTGTTTAGTAGAAGATGAGCCGGAGATCATCGAGCTGTTGCCCAACATCATTCTGAACCCGGGCTTTGAGGGACCGAGTCGTTTCGACGACATCACCCCCGACGAGAACTCCAACAATGGAACCCTAACTCGCCTTAATAACAACACGGTTGTCCAGCCGCAGGACTTATAACGGGGCTGATAACTGATTTTGGCGGTTTTTCAGCGAAAAGGCGCACGTTTAGTGCTCAGGGCGCGATTTCGGAACCGCTTGACCGCGAGGTAAGACATCGTTTTGCTTCTCCATGTACAAAATGCGCTATTCACATTGATACCTTAAGGGGAAAGTGTGTTAAAGCGCGAAGCGCATTCGCCAGCCTGTCGCGTATGGACAGATTGGCGAATGCGCTTGTTAGTTTTGAGTATGCGTTGAAGGCAGACTTGCGACAATACCTGTTGCATTAGAGGAACATATCGACTATTTTCTCATTAGTGTGTACATTTAGGGAGTAACAGTTTTCGATAAATCAAGACTTTGGGGCGTTAAACCAAAGTGATACACTCATTCCTTTGGAAACTAAGTCTTCTTCGATCTGTATTTAGACATTGAGTTGTTTCGAGCCTTCAAGTTCTTCTCGTGAAGACTTTGTGGGCGCAGCAGTCCCAGTTGAGTGTGTTTTAGATCGGATTTATGGGAACTCGCGTTGGCATTCTATAAAACGGCAATCGGTTCCCGTGTGCCAATGCGAGCCTCCGATCAATTAGTCGTTGTTTTTGTGATATTATTTTTTATGGGCCCCTGTGGGCATTAATAATAGAAACGCGAGTTGTGAGCAGTGTTCCAAACCATTAGTATTTATGATATTTTCGAATTAAGACGGTTCAATAGCTGATAAGGGCTTTACTTGCACCTACACACTATCGTCATCAATTGCTTGTTTCATAATTGTATTTAGCAGGTTCGCGCGTTTGATTCAGCATCTGAATACAATGCTTCCGAATTCGATGTTGTGCTATTTCAGTATTGGCTGGGTTTTCTAACTGATTTCGAATTGCTGCGAGTGAATAAATTGTCGCTAATACGCTTAATACTAAGACAAAACATAACCAGTGCCTCTAACATGTAAGTAGGTGTGTGTTCGGAGCGGTGTAAGGCTGATCAGTAGCTAGCTATATATTGTCGACTGATTGTTGCGAGTGAATTGTTGTAAATATATAAAAACCTTAACTTATACTTAAGACTACCGACTGCCTAATCGATATTTAAGCAAATTAATCACGCCTGGTTGTGCCCGAGTGTTTTTCATTCACTGACAAGAATCACACTTATTTCATCTGCTGATTATACGGGGCGGTTTTGCTCGGAAGTGTGATTTAAGGCCACTTTCTTGCCAACCGCGCCGTATAGTAATTCCTACTAATTAAAGCTCGCTTTAAGTGCACGTGGTCTAATTCACTGAGTATTGTGTAATTTACATGAAATTAATTATTATATACTCCACTGTCTTGTATGTGATATTATATGGGTTGCTTTGCATTAAAATAAAGGTTTTTTCTTTCAACCAATCAAGGCGCGGATTTGATGCACGTATAACTCTTAAACATTTATTTGCAACAAGAGCTCACATTGCCTATTGTCTATATCAGACTTCAAAAATCTCACAATTTACAACTTTCGCATAGAATAATTCAACTGTTCACTTAGCGCTGTTAAGCCTTAATGCTATGCACTTTGGTTAAATCCTATTTGTCGAAATGTACATTTAAACACTCACAGGGTGTTTTTTCCGTGTAAAACGCTACTGAAGGTTTACCTACAGAAAAACGGGCCACAGAACAGCCGTTTCGGATCAGATCTAAGTTTTGATTTCTTATTTCAGATTGTGCTTAGTGATTTCAATTAGCAGCCAGCCTGGAAAGTTTTCTCCTGGTAAGTGGTGCCAAGTGAATATTTTCCATATGCGCTGATCTTTGGTGGAAAAACAACGTGCGGACGCTTTTACAGTGCTCAATGTGGAGAGACGCTATTGAGTTTGTCAATTAAAACTAAAATTTCGCTAAAACTACCATCACACGAAGGTATAGAGCAAGCTGCGGTCGTAGAAATGGTATACGCCGTTAATGTGCTTCAGCACCCTGCCCTCAATCAGATGCCGGCCGTAGTTGACGGCTTCCACGCGATCCCGAGCCAAGCCGACCTCAATCAGCCAATCAATGAACTGCTTGCCGGCGAAAACGTCGTGGTAAACCGTAAACCGCCAGCTGGAATGGTTGGAAACTCAGTATGGGAACGGGGAGCGAAGTTGCGTGCCTACCGTTTGTCTGCAGCGATTGCTTGCTTGCAGCTGCGGAGATGGTGAGTGACGAACTGGTCGCAAACATGTCGAGTTTCGTGGCTGAGTTCATCCCAAGCGGGCAACGTGAGCGTGTTGGCTCCGAACCAGAGTTTCCTCCAGAATTTCACCACTGGCAGCACCACCTCTTTGACGTCCAGGCCGAAGATGACGAACACCAGCACGCTTTGGCCGAAGTTCAGGATCGCGTCCAAGAAGGACAGTTCGACGTAGATGCCCGAGATTTGCTCCATTACCAGCGTCCATATGGAGAGAGACAGTCCCTGGAAGAAGCGCGCAAGTGAAACAGCAGCATGTTTGTGGTGGGATTCACCCACCACAAACATGCTGCAAAGCAGCAGGATCAGCAGCACAGTGTGGCGCAGTATTTGCGGGTCGTGCGACTCGGGCTCCTCTTCAATTGCTTCCAAGTCCTCGTCGATTGGCTGCCGGTACTGGCCAACCACCGCTTGACAGGCCGCCCTTTGCGGCCCTTGGCACCCGTACTTTAGACCACAGTCTCCATTTGAACTGCAAAAGACGTGTAATAGTTTTGTCTGAATGCGCTGTTGCAGAGTAAAGCTTGCCTGTTAACGCTGCTGGTGGTTGGGACCAAGTCCTCAATGTCCACTGGACTGGTCAGCTCCTTGTCCTCGCAACAGCCCTCTTTAATGGTGGGCAGGCCGTTTCGGGGGCTCTTCCCCACGCCAGAGCATCCAGATTGCCCCGGCTGGAGTGGCGAATCCTCTGCCAGTGGGTTGGCGACTTCATTGGACACGTCCAGGTAGCGGCTGTAGAGCCTGCGGTAGCGCTGATGGAGAATAAGGCAGCCGCCAGTCACTGATCGACAACGAGAGTGACTGGGTTGAGGGGTGAGTTTTCATAGAGTGGGACTCACCAATAAAGCAAAGAACCAGCAGGGAGACGGCCACCACAGCCTGCGACGCGCCGTAAGCAAAGTTGGGGTTCTGCCTCTCAAAGGGCAGGCTGGCCGACTTGTCGAAGATCAGAAGAGTTGCGCACATCAGAACCGGTACTCTATAGAACCTTTGGGTTAGTTTGGGTGCGTGGCGCTTGAGTGAACTCACCCCCAGCCTACGGCCATGAAGTAGGGCTGCAGTTTAACCACGAAGCACAGACTGCGACACTGCAAGAAGAGCAGCGTGATGGCCAAAATCGCCGTCCAGAGGCGTGAGCTGTAGACGCCGATGGTGAAGAAGGCGAACTGGATGTAGCTGCGGTTGTGCGCGTCCACCTTGATGGTGTTCCACAGGATGGCGCCCAGGCAACTGATAAACTGGAAAAGCGCTGGATAGTTCCCCCTGGTTATCAAGCTAGAGCTCGGGAGACTCACATGAGACACCACCAGGCAAGTGGTGGCTTTGTGGGGGATTTTGTTGATTTTCCTGGACAGCGCAAAGACGACCACCACCCAAACGCAGGCCAGGACGCCCACAATGCTCACGTCCAATGTGAGCTGGCCGAGCTCCTTCACGTACTGAGACGGATCGCAGTTGGTGATGGTGATCATTTTGGCCGAGACGAACATCAGCGGGGCGCTGAGGAAGGTGCAGGCCACCATGGCGCTGGCAATCAAGTCCACGTCGATCAGGTACTGAGTGGCGAAGACAAAAACGCCGGGCGCCGTCGGGAAGGTGCCGTAGAAGAAGCCGTAGGTGCTCAAGTCCAGCGTCTCTGAGCCGTTCGAGCCTGCGTGCAGCACATTGACTATTTCCCGAGTGACCACCGGCAGGACGATTCTGGAACGGGATTGTTCGAATCAATTGGGTCTAAGCGGGTGAGCGCGTACAGTTTGACCATGATTAGGATTCCTGGGACCACCAGAGTGGCGCCAGTCAGGTTGTGGATTTTGCCCACCATGCGAAGCCCCAATAGGAACAAGGAACTGGCTGAGAAGGCGGAGCCCAACACCTGCAAACAACCAATCAGCTGCTTCCAGCCTCAAAATGCCCCCCGAAAAATTACCGTCAAGATCCCGCTGAGATAGAGCGGCACGCGATGCCCGAAGGCCAAGTTGCCGATGATCCCGAATATCGTCATGAAAATGATCGGGTTCAGGAATATGTTCTTCATGATGGAAACCACCAGCTTGCAGCGGCTTTTATGCGGAACCGTGGTACTCTCAGGGGGCGCCACCTCTTGGTTCAGCAGCATTTCCTCGTCTTCAGCCAATCGTCGTTTCTTGTGCACCTCCATGAGGACGAAGGCTATCGGGTTTAGGACGGCCAAATTGATGGGCGCCACCAGGTAAAGGTATGAAGCGTATTCGGGGTGCGTCAGTTTGTAGAGCGCAGCAACTGCAAGCGAAGTTTTTAAAGCCAGCGTTTCGTTTCAGAACTATCCATCCTCAAACTTTCTTAACAGTGCTCAGCGTGAGCTGAGCTTACTTACCAATGGGATAGCCAATGGCAAAGTCATTGCTCTGAGTGCAGAAAATGGCAAAAATGCCGGCTCGGCCAAGGTTGAGCGGGCGTCCAACCAGCATGGCAACAATGATGACGGTGAAAAACACCATGCTCTTGGCCACCAGGATGGAGAGCAGGAAAAGCCAGTTGACCGTGTTCAGTTCGAGCTCGGCTAGGGACATGAAGATGAGCGCCGGCAGGGAGAATGTCCCTACAAAAGTGCTCATGCCCTTTCCCTCTGTCTCTGAGATGAGGTTCATGCGGCCGGCCGCATAGCTACAATTGAACGCACCCGTAAGCCTTTCGTACTTGCTAAAGCTGTTACTAACCCGCAGAGTATCACGGCAAAGCATTGCAGCAGCGCTGGATAGAGGTTTTCGATAGCAGCCCCAGCTGGCGTCAGCTCCATTACGACGTGTTGATCAACAGGCCCCAGTTACATGTTTTCCTACGCAGAAGAATCGGCACTGAAAGGCACAGGTTTCCTCTAGGAATCGTGGGTGCGAAAATCGATAACAGACTTTACCCTTTGTGTGCCAACAGGATAAGGCAGACCACTCGGAATTATCGGCTATTAGATCACTTGGCCTGCCATCGATTCGTCGCGCTCGCATTGAGCTGAGTCATTGTTTAATTAGGGTGTCTAACAATTACTTTTGCAACAATAACAAAGAAGTTTTGGGGCATTATTGTGGCAGTCAGCTGACTTGTCAAAACAAGCACGTAGACCGGCCAGCGCTGTTGTCACACTTCTGATTGCCCCTGATCAATACTTACAGTTGCATTGTTTTATTAGTTTTTTAGGAATTTAAGCGAATTTAAATCCCGCAGTGGGTTGGTGCTAGTAATGGCAATTTCACAAAAATGGTTCTTTATTTTTGTTTATTTGCTTCAGCGAATTTTATGGGCGTGGTCCACAAGGCCCCAGGCGGCATCAGTGGAGCAGTTTGGCCGATTGTCAGCTGACTTAACTGACGTTGCACGTCAGCTTTGTGCCATGAGAAAAACAAACATTTCCCTGTAGAAAACAAGTCGAGTTCTGAGGCACCCGCAGAGAAACCGCAATGGGGGCCCTCAATCAGGACGTAGATATTCAAAACTTTTTCATATTTAATTCGCAGTTGTGTCCTAAGGAGGGCGAGGTAAGTGGCATTGAAACTTCCCCATTTCCAACCCTCAATTTGCAATTTTTTTTAGGAACTGAAGAAGATTGTGTACTATTACCCGCCCAGTGATAACACGGAGGTGCAGGTGGAAAATGTGGGGTTGGTAGAAGGCATAATCCAATTCACCCAGTAAGTTGGCAGGTCGAGCGGCCAGGCCCTAGCTAAACGCCACTGTTTTAGGACTTTTAATCCAGACTCGCCAGTCAAATCTCTGCATACGGGCAAGCAACGGCAGTTGTTTCTTCAGCCAGAGCGCGATTTCTGGATTGTCCTGGTGAGTGTTTTGAAGTGCTCAATCGTCCTGGGGCTGGTGTTATTGACGTGATGTTCCAGACCATCGCCTTGCCAGTGGTCACTAAAGTGAAGGAAAACACCAGTTTCATCGAGTATCTGGAGGAGGATGTGCAGGACAATGTGTACGAATCCGTGCTGAGGCAGCTTTATGACATGTACCGATTGTTTTGGGGCACTTTCCAGCACACGTTAGAGCAGAGCGACTTGGGCACGTTGATGACGAAAATCGAAAAGTTCTACAACGCAGTAAGTGAGGCCTGGCTCAGGTAGACAACTGCGTTTCAGTATTTGAAAACTTTAAGGATGGCCCACATGGATATTTTAACTGTCTTCAAAGGCATTCAGTACCTGCCCTTGGACAGACACACATTTTTGAAAATTCAGTGCTTCGTCAACGACGTCGAGTCTAATATGGAGTATATTGCTCACACGACTTTCCTGTACAACGAGCACGTTGTCTGGTGTGTGGAGAATTGCGCCAGTGGACAAATTAACAGACGGTTTTCTTAGGAGCGGCATCGAGCCGAACGACATGCAAACCATCTACCAGTATCTAATCGATCAACTGTTACCAGCCAATGTGGAGGCGGAGCTTCAAGGGGGCTCAATGCCCAGGAACTTGCAGTCACCTTTTACGGCTTTGAGGCGCGGCCGCTTCATCACGGGGCCCTCAAACCTGAAACAGGCCAAAACTGTGGGCAAAGTGCCCAAAATCTACCTGTTCAACGAGGACGGCGTGTTGGAGTATTACTTAGTGGTTTATAGAGCGCTCAGTGCCACTGTTTGCTTTTTTGTTAAAGGTAAGTTGCAGTTTTAGAAGTTTTAATTGGACACTCAATTTTGAAACTAATCGGTTTTTCGGGTTTTTAGG